AAGTTTGGCTCTCTGGAGACAGTGATAGGCATCAATACACTCTGTCAAAGTGATTCTGATGGAGAAGAAAGTCCAGGGAGTTCTGCTGGGTTTTGCTTCTGGAGGGAGTGGAGAAGATCTCAGAGAGAGCAGGGGCAGACAGGCAGGCCTGCAGCCATGGAGCTGGGCAGGCCAGCTATGACTGAGTGTGGACTGTGCATGCGGTTTGGGAGACATCCTGGGCATGCCACTTTCTTCTTGTCATCCTATTAACACTGTGGCATCTGCAGGGTCTAGTGCCAGAAGCACATTGTAAAAGGACTTTTATGTGAACAACTTCAACTCGGAAAGATCGAGTCTTTTTTTTTTCTTCTCTCTCTTTTCCTTTCTCAGTCCTTCCTAGTTAGCATTCTCCTTACCAATTCTCTGGTTTATTTTTTCCTTTCTTTGTTCTTAAGAGTACAACAGGGTCCCAGAGTACTGTGTCTGTACAGATGCATCTGCCTACTTTGGGGTAAGTGCATTGGCTGTTTGTGATGTGTAAGAGGGTGACAACCAGGGCTCTCTGAAAATTGGGCAGGGCTCATGTAGGAATAGTAAAGACAGAATCCCAAGAAAAGTATGGGTGCAGAAAAAGGATCTTAAGGCCCTAGGACAATGTCCCTATGAAGCAAGGTGCTTCTGGGAAATTCAATGATACCTTAAAGTGCACAAGGGGCTTGCTCCTCCCTTTGGGTCACAGGGAGATTCTTCCCATCCTCCCTTGCACCAGGCCATGATCCCAGATCTTGAAAAGTTAAGTTTTGCCAGCTATTGGCCTTGCCTGCATGCTTGTTGCTTCCACGGGCATGTGGATAGACTTGCTATATGTATTCTGAGTCCAAGGCTTACCAAGTCTTGCTCTATTTGGCCATCATAGGCCCCCGGAGAAGTTCTCCCCATGAGCTTATTGCAAATAAGCAGATTTATTGCAAAAAGCAGATGAGTTAATTGCTTTAAAGCTTTAGAGAAGGTGCTAGAGAATTGGCTCCGCAATTATAGGCACTTGCTTCTCTTCCAGAGAACCAGAGTTTGGTTCCCAGAATCTGTGACCAGCAGTTCATGACCCCCCATGACTCTAACTCCAAGGGATCTGATATCTTCTTGTGGTCTCTATGGGCATGTGAACACACATAGAATACACACAGTTGCACTGACACACAGATATACACATATATACACTTATTATTGTTGTTATTATTATTATTATCATATAAAACAAATTTTTCTAGAGCTTTGGGCAGAGAGGATCTTGGTCCCATCCCTGACTTCCTAGATGACTTTCTACAGGCCTTCTCGGGTCACTTAGACTTTCTGAGGGCCCAGTTCCTCACCACTCTGACGAAGATCAGCAGTCTCACTTTATAGTATGTTAGACAATTTATGAACTGGTGTGTATTCATACGCAGCAAGGAACCCTCCATAAGTATTAGCTGTAGAGATCTCAAGGACTTGTGTGTTTATTCACACCACAAAAAAAGGGGGGGAGTGGCAGGTAGGTAATCCTGTCCTTAAGAGTTCAAAGTTCAGTTAAGGATATGGATATTAACTCATCACTTCTGCTGATAGGGGCTTATTGACACGTACTGTGTGCCCATCTTTGTGAAGCCTGATCTCTGTCACCATAACTGCAGCTACTATTTTTTTAATACTTTGTTCCTTCTTATTCAGTATCAGTGTAGGTGGGGCAAGAAGACAGCTTTCAGGAGTTAGTTCTCTCCTTCAACCTTGTTGAGTCAGATGACTCTGGTCATGTCTGCTCCACAGCGTCAGAGCGAACCTCCTCTCTCCTCCATCCATCGCACTGTAGGACTTATGGGATTAGAACTGCATGCTGCCACGTCTGTCCTTTAAACATGGATTCCAGGGGGTGGAGTTCAGTTTATCAGGTTTTTACTGGCTGGGCCATTTCACCAGCCTCTGGGTGCCTCTTGGTTGCCTCCCCAAATGGTTCTTGAGTGCCTCTTAACTAGTTTCTTCCATCAAGAAATTCTCCCTCCATGTTCCATCATGGAAAAAATACTAAATCCAACAAGTTTGAGTTCTAATCCACATTCAAAGAAAGTTAGGTACTACTCTAGTCATCTCACTGATCTATAAAATACAAATAATATGCCCACCTCCATGCAGAAGATGAGGTAGTCTGAGACCTTTGCTAGGTTAGTCTCAAGTGTCCTCCGGCTGGTAGCCCTCAATAGACAGACCAAGTAACTGGAGACTAGCATGAAGCTGTTCCCTTGTGGGTGAGTAAGAATGCCTCTTGCCAAGGAGAAAGCTGAGCCCCAGATAGAAAAGCCTCATGACACAGGAATGATGATAAACAAAGGCTTGGCACAAGGGCACGCTGTGATTTATTCCAAGCCCAGATCTTCCCCGAGCATCTCCTGCTAAAATCTCTCAGTGAGTGAGGCATTCAGGAGTACTCGTGGCCAATGCCCTCTGTAGGCATCAGCAGCCAGCCTCTGCCTCTTCACACCCACTCTGATTTGCACACATGCTCCTGCATCCAGGACACCACACGCCACCTACTTTGCATTGTGTGTGTCTGCTGCTCCATGTACTTAGTCCCCTACCCTCCTTCCTTACGCTGGGTCCATTCTTGCTCTTCCATCGTGGTTTCTACAGCTTTGCTACCTCCTAGGAGAAGTTGACCCCACTGTGTACATCTACTACATTCTTTCTCTCTACTCCTGAAGTCGGGTATGTCTGTTTGCATCCCCGAATCGTGTCCTCAGCACCCAGCACAAAGTAAAAGCTAGAGCTGTGTTGAGCAAACGAGATGAGTAAGTGACGTCACTGTAGCATTGATCACCTTGGTTACAATTATCATGTACACATCACCACTGGTTATGTTAGTGAGGGGAGCGACTCTATGAAATGCTGCTTCCTTCAACCCATCACAGAGCCTAGCACACAGTAGGTGTTCCAAAAGTATCTGCGGACTCATTAGCCAAAGAGCTGGTGTGCATTTCTCCACCTGAAAAGTCTTTCTTCAGGGGCAAAAATTCCCAGACAGCTATCTGTGTGTCTCTGTATGTAACCGAGGGTTGTTACTGGGAGTCTGTAGTCATGCATCTTGGATATTAAAGCTGGGCAAGACATCAGGAATCAGGCAACTGGACATCAAATCCTGGAGGAACCGGGGATGAAGAGGGACAGCACTGTGCTTCCTGCTTGGGATAGCTGGAAGCCTTGATACCGCTAGATGGCACCAATAGCTAAGACTTGCTCCAAGACACTGTCAGGGTAGCCTTCCTTACCCAGATGCCTGAGGAACTCTAGGCAGGTACCAAGAAACAAGGCTGCCTACCAAGATGAGGTTGCTTATTTGGAATGAAGGGAAAAGGCTGGTGGTGTTCTCATAGTATGGTGCACCAGCTTATAGCTGTTCCAATGAGTGGGACAGGCTTGGGGAGGTGTGCTCTAAGTTTCCCTCATATGCTAAACCCTTGTGTTTCCATACCCAGTAGACCTTTTTCCACATAGCAGCTCTTGTACCCAGACTTCAGAAGGGTTGGAATGTGTTTCCAAACCCACTTAGAAGTGCCCCATCTAACCCTCTCAGACTCTGTGTATTCTTCTTGACTCCCAAGCTTAATCCTGAGAGGAGAGATTGATTCAGAGTACGATGTCAGGTAATATCACAGCACTTTCATCCTTCTGTAAGTTAATACCTAGAGAACCCCTCTGTGCATGGTGCAGTGTATTATATTGGGGCAGAGAGAGAAACAAAACCCTAACAGAAAAGTCACTGTGTCTGTCCCTAACAAGGCAGACTGTCACTCCATGCACACTGCAAGCATCTAGTATTGAGGGCTCAGAGTGTCTTAACAGGTTATAGAGAGCAGGGAAATTTACCTCAGACATAGGGAAGATGCCCTGAAGCAAGGAAAGGATGCACCAGGATGGGCCCTAAATTAATCCTGGAAGTGATGTGTCAGTCTGAAATCAAGGCTATGGGCAACACAGGCTGACCAGAGTCACCCTGTAAGCTTCTAGGCCTTTTTTTTTCTTTGCATCAGTATCTATGTACTGGTGATGTTCCAGGACCAGGACATGCAGGTCAGACTAATGCAGCAGCTCATATCTGGTCCTTTTTAGCCGGAGCTATTCCTGCCCTCAACCCCAGAGAGCTTCTTTGCACTTTTCACAGGACCCAGAGCCTTATGCTATGATTCACAACCTCTAATGCTTGTTTCCCCTGTATGTTGCATAAGCTTTATGTACAGAACCATCTCAATTTCATCTTCAAGTGTCCAAACTGTAGAGAAGGCTACATGCTAGCTCTAAGAACATATATTTAATGGCTGAAATAGCCCAGAAGGAATGAAGGGACTCAGGGAATTTCTCTAGTGCAGGGTGAAGAACTCAGATGGGGTCAGGAAGGCAGTCACGCATATTGGGATGTGCACAGGTTACAGAGATACAGGCATCTTCGAAGATCTGTACTTAGACACAAAAAACAAAGCAAACAAGGTCTGTAGCATTGATAGAAACAGCGAAGGATGTCTTCTGGCCTAGATACACACCACACACACACACACACACACACACACACACACACACACACACACAAACAGCCATCTGAATTCCCCAGACACAGAAGACTCTGTGAAGGAAGAGTTTGAAGTCTGCACAGCCCAAATTCAGGGCTCTCCTCTTCTGTAACTCAGTGCCACCACACATACGATTAGGACCATAGAGACACCAAGGAAAGAAGGAAGCCAAGGTGGGCTGAGGTAGATGCTAGAGCCCCAGTACTTTACTGGCTGGGAATTGTTCTGAGTTCTCTGAACTTTGAGCTCCTTAATCTTACTGGCTTTATTGAAAGAAAATCGATGTTTGTCTGTTGGTCATGTGAAAGTCAATAATTGTGAAATCTTCTAAACACAATGAAGGTGGAAAGGCAGTTACAGATATTTGGGCTTGGAAACTCTGGACTGACTCAACAGCCTCTTTTCACCTCTGCCCTTCCTCCACAGCCCCTCTCTCCAACCCCCACAACCATGATCTTCACCCCAGCCCCACTGGAGGAAACCACCACACGCCCCGAGTTCTGCAAGTGGCCATGTGAGTGCCCACAGTCCCCACCTCGGTGCCCACTGGGCGTCAGCCTAATCACAGATGGCTGTGAGTGCTGTAAGATTTGTGCCCAGCAGCTCGGGGACAACTGCACAGAGGCTGCCATCTGTGACCCACACCGGGGCCTCTACTGCGATTACAGTGGGGACCGCCCGAGGTACGCAATAGGAGTGTGTGCACGTAAGTGAGAGACTCCATACCTTCCAACTGCCCCCACACCTTATCTCTGGCTCATGACCACCCACAGTCCTTCTTCAGCTGCCCAGGAACCATATTCCAACCAATCCATTGTTAGAGGCCACAGTATGGATCATTCTGGGAAGAGAGAAATAACTGCGTTCTTCTTATCCCTAAGACGTTATGTCTCGGTCTCTTCCTATTAGAGACATTTCCCTGGGGAAGGAGATTCTGCCAAGAAATACTCAAGCTTGGTTCCATTCTCTTGGTAGATAAGACTCTTCAGTAGATTTCCAGTGGCCTCTCAGATGATGTGGAGTCACTGCCATATTTCAAACACTTTAATGGTCCTTTAAATTTATATATATATATATATATATTCGCTTAAGAAAAGCCATTGACCATGAAATAACAAAACCAGCAGCCTACACCATTTCCCAGCAACCCTGCTTTTCCAGTTACTACCATTACTTTTAACTTGTTGGCCCTTTATTGTTATAGGTATCACTACAGAGTAATGTCTTCTGCGAGATTTTACCTATGTTGTACTATACTATACTATAGCTTGCTATATTAATTTTAGGTCACTTATTACTATTCCTATAGGATAGTTGAAGGATTAGCTCCCCGTTGTCATCAGATACCTTTGTTATCTTCCAAATGTCCTTGTCCTGATTTTTGGCTACATAATCGTGAATATTTTTTATGTACTGACTGCGTTCACTACAGCTTGAGTAATATACATGTTTGAATTGCCACTTTTCATAGTACCATCTGCTCCTCCTGGTGCTTCTAACTGCCTTTGTTCTCTTTAATTTGGATCCTTGTGTTTGGAGGAAGACTGTTGTTGTTTATTCTTTACAGGATCCATCCTATGTCTGCTGTTCTTGCTGTTTATAAAGACTGTGTTTCTGGGAGTTCACTACCTCCTATTTATTTATTCTATTTATTTAGTCTGAATCCTCTGAGCATTGCCTGGCCAAGTAGTGCGAGCCAACATGACAATGAACAACGGCTTGCCCTATGACATGACAGTCTATCTTCTGAAATGTTCCTCCATATCTTGTAAATACAGAAACTCCTCCCCTACAAGTATTCAGTCAGGACTCCTCCATAATTATTGATCCATGTATCTCTAATATCTGTTAATATATAATACAGTCCCTAGTCCTACCTAACACCTTAGATTCTCATGCAGGGTTGTTGATGAAGTTTGTGCACACAAATCCAAATCAGTAAACCATATCTGAGCCTCCTCCCTCTTTTATGACCTTTCCTGTTCTTTATTCTTTTCTTTTTTCATTCATTTAGATTTACATCTTTGGCTTTTCAAATAAATGCCCCTACTTCCCCTATCCTCCATGATTTTGTCCTCTTGGTGGAATTTTTTTTTAATGCTACAAAACACCTTCAAAGAAGACTTGCCACATAACCTGTGTGTAATTACACTATGTGTGGATTAAAATGTGTTTCCTGAGCATTAGCCCAGACCTGTTTAAATAAACCCCCCGAGTCACAGATAATCTCTGCTTGCTGTGCTAAGAGATATTATAAACAGTTATCTATCCTCTTCCATAACCCAGGGAGATATAGCCACCTTCCCTGTGCGGAATCCCTCACAAGACAAGGCACGTAAGACAAGGAGACCAACTCATAACTCCTCTTCCTGCTAGCGGGGACTTTGAGGTCATTTGAAAGGGAACTCAGTTCACTGTGATTACACTAATCTCCAAAGCCATAATGAGATCTTATATGCCATAGACATTGTGTCATGGATCCAGAGATTTTCTTTCCTGCGCACCCCCACCCCCACCTCACCCTCACAGTTTCCAACTGCAGGTCTCACATCAAACCACTCTAATCCCTTAGCTCCCTGAAATTCGATGAATTTCCTTTCCATTTATTTAGGAAAGATAAAACACCCACCATCTAAGGAAGGATTCAGTAGGTTTAGGTATTGGGCATGAGTTCCCTGGTCATGCGGGTTTATAGACCTTGAAATAAATAGAGGAAAACAAGAGTTACAGGGCTTGAAATATTCCCACCTATTGTTAAGTTCCAAATGGTTTGTCCAGAGAGGGATACCCATCTCCAACTCTAACACTTGACTCTTTCATCCAGGTACTGTCTTACCCATGAGCCTCACCACAGCACTCACACAGACACATATCAGGTGCATTATGTACACACATGCACACACAAATTCTCTCTCTCTCTCTCTCTCTCTCTCTCTCTCTCTCTCTCCATATATATACATATGTGTGTGTGTGTGTGTGTATGTGTGTATATGTATATATAAATATATATATGTGTATATAGAGAGAGGGGGGAGGAGAGGTATTTGTGTGTGTCATCTGTATCCTATGTAAATATATGCACATATATACAAAATTCACTTGTGTCCCCTAAGCATTTCCCCAGAAATATGACCTAATGTCAGAATTCATGTAGCGCAAATGTAAGAAACAAAGCAATGCGTGGAAGCATAGAGAGGCTGTGAGACCCAAGAAAACAGAGCGTCTCATGCACCCAGCCAGTCATCACGTGATCAGCTTAGCTAGCGGATGGCCCTTAGGATGAGCTAAACCTGTCTGCAGAGAATTAGGCCAAGACAAGGCAAGTGAAAAACGAGCCATGAGATGTTGCCACACAGGGCCCAGGGAACTCAGAAGAGCCGTTGGCAAACCAGTAAATGCCAGCTTTGGCAGTCCATGGTCACCATCCTGGGCCACCGAGGCCAAGTAGAACAGTGAGTCTAGTCTTGCCTAGTCTGCTCAGCTGTCAGGAGGAATCTAGGCTTGTGTATGATCAGTAAACACCAGAGCTACATTCAAAGAAACTTTTAAAAAGTGTGTCCTAAACACAGGGATGGGCACAGTGCCCTCAACTTCAAAAAGTTCCACTATTTCAATTGCCCAAACACTGCCCTAATGGAGCTTGAACAGGCACCAGGGCAAAAAGGTCTGGCAAAGGGAACATAGTGTTTACAGGCTGAGGGGCTTGGGGTTTCAATCTCTGCTCTGCTTCTTGCTGCAACCGGCCTTGGACCACTTACCTGAGGATCTTCATTAAATCAGCCTTGAGCAGGGAGGGGTACACAGGGCCATGCTGACTGTGGCTTTTGCTGGAAATCATCTCAGCCCTGTTCACCACAATCATCCATATGGGGAGGTCTCATTCCAGGACCTCCCTACCTCGCTTGCTAAAGGAGGGAAAGGAAACTGTAGCATGATGCTTGGGGTTAGAAAACCTGAGCTGGAGTCCAACCCTTTTAAACCTCAGAGTCCTCAATAAGGGTAACGTGATGAAAAGTGGGGACCCCTGTGGGAAGTCACGCCTCATGCTTAGATATAGTAGGAACTTAGTGGAGGCCAGTGGTCCAGGCATGTGTGTGCCTCTATCCACCCATCTGCCCTCTGACTCAGAATAATATGAAGGTGAGGGTTATAGGACACAAGTCATAGTCCTACTCCCACAAGGCCACAGATGGTGAGGGGCATGAAGGTCCCAGTAAAGGAGCATGGTGGCTTGGTGGTTGCAAGTCTTTTAACTATAAGAAGGCTGGCTAGGTCTTACCTGAATTTTCAAATGAGGTTAGAGAGGCACTGGTGGCTTCCCCTTCACCCAAGACCAGTCCCCTGGGAAAGTAGAAAGGCTCTATGTGCACAAAGAGGGGCTCCACCTCTGCTGATGGATAATGCATGGTCATCACAGTCCTGATCTCCCCTGGCTCTATGTAGGTCAGTTTCATCAGCTGCCCATGTGTCCACATTAACCAGTCTACAAAGATGGCATTTCCAAGCGCAATAGTACTTGACTTTGGTTGCTCACTAGACTCGTATAGAAGGCTTTAAAGAATACCAACACTGAGGAAAGCAGTGCCTCAGCATCTAGGCCTGTCTCCTGCTATGTAGCCTGGGTATCAGCATTTTTACAGATTGCTCTGTGAGTTTCTGTAAACTGATGGAAGGAAGGATGGATTGCTTTGCCATTGACTACAGAGCCCAGGACTGATGTCTTTATGGATGAGGGCAGAACATAAGCTTCAGTCTTCTCACCACAAACACACACACACACACATAAAGAGAGAGAGAGAGAGAGAGAGAGAGAGAGAGAGAGAGAGAGAGAGATTGATTTATATCCTCATGCACATATCTGTCTACACAACATAAACACATGTCTATGTAAGCAAATACATATACAAACTAGTATATGTGTATGCACATTCACATGTACACATATGCACATATACATCTTCCTGACATTTGAGGGAGTGGTAAGATGACCCAGGATGCAAGATTCAAGGGTCTCCTCACATCCTGCTTCCTGTTTCCTCTTCCTGATCATCTTCCTTCCTCTCCTCTCATCTCCCTCTTCTTTTGGTGTCAGGTAGAAGGAAGGAGGCTGTGAGTTTGCTGTTTCCACTCTGTCATTCACCAGCTCTTTGAGCCAGTGAATCCCTTCCTCTCCTCTCCCAGACCTCTCCTATCCCTGTGAAGTAAACAAAGTTCTCCTGATGAAGTCATCATTGGAGACCTGGGTGAGATCATGGACCAGAAGCTGTGTCAACGTTTGCCAGCACCTGCTTCCTGGCTATTCTGAAAATGGTGGCAACGGAGAGATAGATGTACACACCCTGAGAATGCTGTTCATTGGCCAGCTTGCACACCAATGTCACCTTGCTGAGACTGTTTTGCTAGACACAGCAATGGAAGCAACAATGTGTTTCCTCACAAAAAAATGTGCCATGAAACACAGTCTTTACTCTTGGCTGGTATCTTGATGCTTACTGACAGCTACCACCCCCACCAATCCCAGAGACAGGACAGAGTTCTGCAATCAGTAGATTCTTAACTGCCCCTCCTCTGTGGGCATTCTTGCTGTCTCAGGACCCTCTGCCTACAGTTGCAGATGCTAGCTCCAAGGAGCACATAGCAAGCACCAAGGTTAAAATCTGACCCAGTGGTTAGGCAAGCCACAGGAGGCCAGCTTGCATAACCAACTACATAGTCATATCTCATGTCTAATGAAGACTTCAATCCCAATTTCAGCTCCTCCAGAGATGATGGAAGATCTCATTTTCTGGGACAGAGTACAGAGTGCTGGAAGTCTTCCTTGACTCCTGAGAGTCTTTGTAAATGTGTCTGGAAGCTGAGCTTTCTCATTGCTTTGGTTTGAGAAGCCACCAAACTCTGCTTGGGTCACTGAGGTGTCGTCTTGTGGCCCTTTCCTACCTATTGTGTACTTAGTACAAGTTTTCTTGTGAAATATATAATTCATCTCATTCATTCAAGTTACTTATTGAACACCTACTTGTGCCTAGAAGAATTCTAGACACTGACAGTTCTGCATCTTTCTCTGAGACAAAAGGAAGCTGCATCTGATCTTTCCCAACACACACCCTTTTCTTTCTCCCTTCCTGCCCTCCACCCCAATCTCCCAAGCCTGTTCCACCATCAGGCTCTTACACCTATAGCTGTCCTCCTTAGAAGGAAGAATGTCATCAGCACCTGGGCTGCCTTCCTCTCTTTCTAGTCTTTGCGGAAGGAAGTCCTCTCACATCCATAGGATCTTCCTGGTCCACTTGCTCTCAGTCTCCAGCCACGTGTACACCCAACATCCCCTCCCTGTTTCCTTATCTTCCAACACTTATCACTAGTGGCTATCACTGTCAAATATCACTGGACCATCTCCCTACTTTATGGTGAGATCTTCAAGGACTAGTCCACTGTTGTTTTGTCCAGTATTGGGTTCCCAGCTCCACAGTCAGTACTGAGGAAGGCAGCCCACTTCATTCCTAGGTTCTGGTTTCCTGTGTATGCCTTCTTCCTTTGGACAGTCATGCACCAGTGCCAGTGTTGGGAACACTGTAGGATAAAAATGTCTGAGCTCCAGCACTAGGGTACTAGACCCTCCAGCCAGGTCTTCAGTGGCTGTCCCCTGATGTCACAAAGCACCTTCACAGTACCCCCTCTCCTTTTCTCCCTGTTGTGCCTTATCTCTTCATCTGACCCTCTCTTTGTCCTTGGGGTACAGTCAGCTGATACGTGGGCCAGGCCCTCTTTCCTCACATGAGTGATTTCTTGGCATGGCATCTTAGGCAGAGGGAAACTGCCCGGAAGTAGTTTGGCACGGAGCCCTTGCCTCCTGGCCTGACATGTCTGCCACCTGTGTTTGCAGAGGTGGTCGGTGTGGGCTGTGTCCTGGACGGCGTGCGCTACACCAATGGCGAGTCCTTCCAGCCCAACTGCAGGTACAACTGCACCTGCATCGATGGCACGGTGGGCTGCACCCCGCTATGCCTGAGCCCCAGGCCCCCACGCCTCTGGTGCCGCCAGCCCCGGCACGTGAGAGTCCCTGGCCAGTGCTGTGAGCAGTGGGTGTGTGACGATGATGCAAGGAGGCCACGCCAGACTGCACTGCTGGACACCAGAGCCTTTGGTAAGTGTGGGCAGGGGCAGTGGAGTCCCTGCATATCACAGAGCCCCAAAATTCCTAAAGGCCTTCATAAATCAAGCCCCCAGGCCATTACCCTCTCCACAACCCAACAGTTGTATGACTTTGGAGAAGTGCTGTCTGGAACCCAGATTCCCCACATATAAAATGCAAATGACACCAACTTTCCTGCCTAGCTTATGGGTTTCTCCCTGTTTAAAAGCCTGGCATGACATTTGCAATCCTCTATTATTTTATTAAAGTATCTCAGGGCGTGGGTAGGGACCTAGAAAGAAGCACAGGTGGCAGGGCCTAGGACCTTTCAGATAACTCAAGGATTCTATTGCTATGGTCATATGAGCAGATGAAACTTTATCTAGGTAAGCCAGATAAGAAGTCCTGTTAGGGGGGACAGGGATGTGATTTATTCATCACTGCCTACTGGAGCTTGGTGCGTTTGCCAGATATTTGGAAAATACCCAGCTGGTGTTTGCAGAGGTAGCCACATAGGTGTTTGGCTATGGGTGCCTGGATAGATGCGTGAATAGATAGCAGTTAGATGATGGGTGTGTGCTGCACCAGCAATTTATGGATGTGTAGATAGATGCATAGAGAAGAAATGGCGGGAGAAGGGAAGGAAAGTAGATAGATGGATATAAGATGAATGAGTGGGTGGAAGGATGGATGGATAGCTAAATCAATGGGTATATGTGAATGCATGCATGGAGAGTAAATGGTTATAGAATAGATGAAAAACAGATACGTGGAATAAGATAGATGGATAGGTCAATGATAGAAGATAGATAGATAGATAGATAGATAGATAGATATAGAGATAGAAGATAGATAGATAGATAGAAGATAGATAGAAGATAGATAGATAGAAGATAGATAGTTAAATAGATAGATAGTAGATAGATAGATAGATAGATAGATAGATAGATAGAAAGATAGATGGATAGATGATAGATAGATAGATAGATAGAAGATAGGTGATAGATAGATAGATAGATAGATAGAAGATAGATAGATAGATAGATAGATAGTAGATAGATAATTACAATGAATGGATGGGTGATAGATGGGCAGATAGAGAATAGATATACACAGGTGGTATCTGAGTAGATGATAATGGTGGATATTTATGCATAGTTACACTTTTGAACTAGGACAGAGGGGACAACAGCGAGGAAAAGATAAGGGCAAGAAGCAGTGCTGCAGGACACCTCAAAGCCTGGCCTATGTGCTGAACATGGTGTAGTGGGAGGAATGCAGGGTGGCTCCTGGGGCTGGCCACTGCCCAGGAGAGAATACAACAAAGGAGCATGTTTAGGGAGATGGTGGGCTGCTTGGCATGAGCAGGCTGAGTTTGAGGAGCGCTCAGAGAGAGAAATGTCCAGTGAGGACAACCTCACAGGGGGAGTCCCACAGGAAGAGAGCTCTGCTTAAAGCAGCTTCTGGCCTTTAATATGTCCTGGGAATAGCACATACAGTGAGATGGAAGAGGCTGGAGTAGAGGTCTGGGGAGAGTGACTTTTGAGGAGTGGACAAGAGAAGAGGAGGCCAGGGACTATGAAGAGACAGAATCTGGGGAAATGAGGAGAGTCCAAGAGAATCTGACACAGTGGCCACAGAATGCAGACACTGTTAGAGGAAAATGCCTCTGAGGCAGGTGACCCCAAAGGACAGAAGACTGCTTACCACTGTGCTTTGGGGGTGCTAATGTTTTTAAAATGTCTAAGTATGTGTGTGGGTTTACTCAGAGCCTGTGGAGAGCTGTGTTCTTGCCCTTCGTGCCAGCAGCACTTAGGAGTAAAAGGTTTTTTGGGGTTGGGGTGGGGGGTTGTGGGGAGAGGGCCATTACAGGCTTGACAGCATCCCTAGTGAGTCCCTTTAGATGACAGCCAACACCTCCCCAAGTTGTGACCATCTGAAACAACTCCGGACCTTAACAAATGTGACTTATGGAAGATCAATGTATCGAGATGAAAGCCAGTAGCAGGGAAGGTTTGGTCCCTGGTAGTTCAGGGAAGCATGACAGCTCCTCCCACTAAACCTGCCTTCAGTATAGTACAATAGTCCCTGGGTGGTGGAGGGAGGCAGAGGCTGCCTGCCCATTGTGTGTGACCCAGTGACCCAGTTCTTAGCCATCCCAGGCAGAGGCCCGGCAGCAGCGGTATGGAGGAGACTCAGAAACCAAAGCTCTTTATCCTCTCATCCTCCCTGACAAATCCCTCCCTCCTAGCCTGCTACAGGCTCCCAGCCAGCTCATCCCAGACTGCCCGCTTCTGTCCTTGGATGCCTCCATTGCTTTCTCCCTTCTGTGTGTGGGTGCCCTCCCTATCTCACTCCCAGATTCACTCACCAGCAATGTTTGCTGCATACCTGCCAGCTCCAGGGACTGTATGAAGAGCTCTGTGTTACCCTAAATAGAAACCTCGTCTGCCTGGTGTGTTTTCCCTCTCTTCCTCCCCCCATATTTTGATTACCTTGTCTGTCCCTATTCTCATTCTCTCCTGTCTGTCTGTCTGTCTGTCTGTCTGTCTCTCTCTCTCTCTCTCTCTCTCTCTCTCTCTCTCTCTCTGTCTCTCTCTCTGTCTCTCCATCTCTCTGTCTCTCTCCATCGCTCTGTCTCTGTGTCTCTCTTTGTGTCTCTCTCTCATTCTCCCTCTGTCTCTCTGTCTCTTTGTTTCTCTCCCAACCCTTCCTCCCCTTCTTATGAGTACAGAGGTGGGATGTCTGTCTGTCTGTCTGTCTGTCTGTCTGTTCCATCTTTTTGTAGGCTGTTCTGCCTCACCTGCCATCTATCTGCCTGTCTCCCTCCGTAGCTCACCACTCTCCCCTGCTCACCTCTGGCTAAGCATGCGCTGATCAGATGCTGGGCTCTATGTTCATAGGACCAGCTAGGGGAAATAATACAATGGGTCCATAGTTGAGTAACAGGACTGGCTAGCATGTACAGGGATTCACTAAGCCAGGGACATCTGATGCACTGTTACATGTATGATTCTGTCCTCTCAGACCCCAGGCCTGGCAATGCTGTTCTTGATCTCTTTAATATTAGGGAACTGAGGCCTATAGGTGAGAGCCAGCTCACTGGATCACACAACTTGCAAACTAGTGTAGTGCAGAGCGACGAACCCAGGAAGTGTGACACAGAAGGCTATGGCCTCTTCAGCTCCCCTGCTCTGAAATTATTGATATGGGATGTCAGGTGGTAGGATGTGGGACTCACCTTTGATCTTTCACATATATACTTCATTTCTGAGGGGTTGTAGGATGGACAGTATCCTTTTTTAACAGATCTTGCTCAGTATCTTGCAGATGCATGGCATAAACTCAGTCAAAATCTACACCCTTTTCCGGTAGCCCCACAAGGTAGATATCCTTCTAATGCGATGACTAAGGACCAGTAAGATGTGGACGTCCACTGTATTGCTTACTATTCTGGTTGCTATAACAAAATACTTCAGGCAATACTTAAAAGGAATTTAAGAGAGAAAGGGTTTATTTTGCTTTACATTTTAAGAAGAGATGCAGGGGCAAAAGAGGTGGCTTGGGTTTCAAGAGTGTTTGCTGCTCTTCCAAGGGACATGAGTTTGGTTCCCAGCACTTATACCTACCTGGTGGTTCACAACTGCCTGTAACACCAGTTCCAGGGGTTCAAATGCCCTCTTCTGGTCACCACTACAAGGACAAGCATACACATGGCATACACACACAGACATAGAAACAGATACACAGGTAAAAATAAATATAAAAATAAAATCCCACTTTAATGAAGACCAAGAAAAAAAAAAGAGAGAGATTCCATCCATTGTAATGAGAAAGGTAACAGGGGCAGGAGGGGGTTTCTGGTTATGTGGCATCCTTCTTGAAGGAGGGAGAGATGAATATTGGTGCACAACTTACTTTCTCCTTTGTAGTCAGTCTGGAACCCCACTCCATGTCCATAGTTAAGGTGGGTCTTCTCAGTTCACTTAACCCAATGTAGAAAATTCTTGCCAGACACACCTGAAGGTCCGTCTTCCAGGTGGTTCTAGACCCTGTCCAGTTGACAGTCAATAGAACCATCATAGAGACCTGGGGTCTACTCAGCTCTAATGATGAGATTTTTTTTCTGTGGTTTTATGTTGTATCTCTCGGTCAGAAAATAAAATGTTAAGGATGAGAATACAATCCCCCTGCCTGGGTGTCTGTGGTGAGGAACTGCCCAATTCTGTGTCTGTCTCTGTCTCTTTGTCTTAATCATTCACCAATCTACTGGTCTCTCTGACTCTTTCTGAGTCTCATGAACTCTAAATGGTTTTTTTTTATGGTAATAGTGAGGGCTGAGGGAGCTTATGGAGGCTACAGACTCATGGGTACTCATTCTGGTGTCCCTCTACAGCAGCTTTGGGCACAGTGGAACAACGGTTTGAGAACTGCATAGCCTACACTAGTCCCTGGAGCCCCTGCTCAACCACCTGTGGCCTAGGCATCTCAACTCGGATCTCTAACGTCAATGCCCGGTGCTGGCCAGAGCAGGAGAGCCGCCTCTGCAACCTGCGGCCATGCGATGTGGACATCCTACCACACATCAAGGTAAATCCAGGGTAAGGGTAGGCCCTTGGGCAGGTATAAGCATAGTGAGCATGTATAGCTGGCTCAAGCCTGACCACTAACCTTCTTTGGAGTCACTTATAAGATGGAACTAATAAAAGGGGCCTGGCAGGCCTGGGACTGAGGTTGCTAGGCTAGTTCAGGATAAAGGCTTTTGTAGTTTCCATCCTATCAGAAGCAAGGTCACTCCACGGGGATATCAGGAGCCATCCAGTGTGTTCTCTGTGTATTGTGATTCTGCGGGACCTGCCCCATCTTTCCTCCCATTGGCTTCCCACATCCATCGACATAGGCACAGGACAGCTACTTGGGCAATGTGAGGACTATGAACTAGAGCTTGAAACACATGGGGTCAAATGCCTTTCTGCTGTTAGAGTTTGAAGCTGCAGCCAGTCTCTGGCTATCGTTAAGCTTCAGTACCTTTCCCATGAGTATAACATTGGTATTAATTCCTGAATCCCTCCCAGCTTTGAAAGTCTAAGATGATACAAGTACAGCATCAAGGACATTGATACTAAACTGCAAAAGGCTGACTTCAGCCCTGGGCTTTAGGTTTGGGTCTTCCTTGTCTAACTAAATACCCTTAGTGCTTGGCCCACCTGATGTCATATCAAGCAAAGAGAACTTATCAGGGCTCATCCCTGGCTCTGTTTGTGGATGGAGCAGAGTAGGTTCTTCAGATGCTGAGAAAAGGCTGCCCTGCTTCCCAGTACCATCACTAGACATGGGGCTTGCCCCTTATCCTTAATGGAGCATCTTGGATGGATACATACTTCCCTTTCTACTCTTCACACTCTGCTCTGCTGACCTTTGGTGCCAGCAGATCCTTATTGAATGTCTCCTAATTGGAAGTATGTGTGTGAAAGACCCAGTATAAGGAACAATAAGAACAAGGACCCTAACCTAGGCTCTAAAAATTTATCACACGTCTGTGCCCTTCACTGGAAGCTCACGATTCCTCTCCTATCTCCATGATCATCTACCCTAGGTAGGTTCCCCCAATTGGATAATCTGCATGCCCCACCCATAGTGGATGTGCTCTGAGACCAGCTCTGTTATGGTGCTGATAATAGAACCTAACATTGGCATAGGGCATTAAGTAATTGCCTACTGTATACCAGCTTCAAGGTTATATTAGCAAGATACAGAAAGAAGCTCAAGTATCAAGGAGCCCACAGCCCCATGGAAGGATAGAATTGTATTTGAATAATGTCAATGCTATTGAAAATGCTGTATGACGATAGTATGTTTGAGAAAGAGAGCCAGTGGGGTAGAGGGGACAGATGAGAGCAAAATATGCCTCTGCTTATTCAAGGAGTACCATGTTGGCTCAGCCACTTGCTAGCTGGGAAGCTTGGTTAGCTAAAAGAGGCTTCTTATGCTGATGACACTAACATATGGGTACCAAAAATGCAAAAAATCAGGAGAGATGGGTGACCGCTAGCTGTGATATCTGAGCTCAGCATGGTAATGCCCTTCTGCAATAGTCAGTTTACCTGTGTCATGTGGCAAGGCCTTGTTTAGTTGGCTGATGTCCTTCCTTGCTTAAAGATTCTGTGAATCTGGAACACAGATGATGCTTGCCCATGCACAGTGAAGGGAAGGGAGGATTCGGTGCTTAGAGGGAGTGAGGTGGCTATACATCACCAGTACTAACCAAGGCTCCTTTCCCTTCCTGAAGGCAGGGAAGAAATGCCTAGCTGTGTACCAGCCAGAGGAGGCCACGAACTTCACTCTTGCAGGCTGTGTCAGCACACGCACCTATCGACCAAAGTACTGTGGAGTCTGTACTGACAATAGGTGTTGCATCCCCTACAAGTCCAAGACCATCAGTGTGGATTTCCAGTGTCCAGAGGGGCCGGGTTTCTCTCGACAGGTCCTATGGATTAATGCTTGCTTCTGCAACCTGAGCTGCAGGAATCCTAACGATATCTTTGCTGACTTGCAATCTTACCCTGACTTTGCAGAGATTGCCAATTAGGTTGGTGTGTGGCTTGGGGTTCAGCTCCATGGTGTAAAGCAGCCAGAACCTCTGGGACCCAGGACTTCCCACTTGAGCCTTATTTCATCTACTTCCTTCTCGATTCTGAATTCCCTGATCCTGACTCTCAGTTTCTGTTCCTGTTTTGACCATCCCAATGGCCTGCTGCTCAGGCTAAGACAATGGGTCCCTCCTTGGGGACATTCTACATCACTCCAAAGAAAACACATCTCTGAACTGTTCACAATGAAAGTCAAGCCTGACCCAGCCAGTCTGACTCCAGCCTCTGCAAGTTGTCAGAAATCCTTATAGGACTCTCCAAGGAAAAGTATCAGCTGAGGAACCAATATCATAGACTTCTTCAGATGCCAAGCCTGAGGATGTTGGGACCCTTTCAGACAGATGGATGGGATCGGGGATACAGGCATAAGCTATCATCCCTTGCCAAACGATACTATCCTGAGTATTTCTGCCTACAACATACCAAAAGTGCTCTCGTTCCAAAGATCTGTATATCACAAGTCATCTAACATTTTTCAGGTGAAGACAATAGTTGTACCATTTTGATGTGCAGTTCAAAATCATTTTAAGAAGAAAATGAAAAGAATGCCATTTTCACTAACCTGGGCAATTTTTCCCCTCACCTCATACAGTATGAAGGGCTCAAATTAGGTTCATGTTGGTGAAAAATGTAATTTGAGAAGTTTTATTTTTGTGGGTAGATGGCAGTACCCAATTCATCTCATAGGGATGGGGCAAGGCCAGCCAATCACACAAGCCACAGCTAGTCAGGTCACTGAATCTGCTGCTGATCAAGTTCTTAGAACAATTAGCAAAATCTCTCCCTGGGATTCATGGGAGTTGGTAGGGACATTAGGGTGACTTGTCTATCGTCTCAAAAACAGTGGAATCTAAAACAGTGGAATGATGGAAGATGTCCTCATGGGCCTTAGAAGATTCTTTTGAAGTCTACACCAGACCTAACATATGCATCAAACAAACAAATGGATTACCCTCTCTGGCCTAAGTAGCCTCTAGGAAGAGTAGTAAGGCCACAATAGTTCCAGGACACATCTCTTTTGTTTCAGTGACCTACTTCACAGCCTTAGTGTCTGTGACGAAAAACAACTCAGTTTTCTAATCTGAAGACGAAAGTTGACCAGCCATGTAGAAATGGAGATCTATTTAACCTCAGTAAACACTGAAGAGTTTGTAAGCTGAAGAAAGAGATTTTTCCTAAGTAGTGAGGTTGTTACCTATTTTAGCAGTAGAATGTAAAATTTCCTGTCATCATTCTCTTATTGGGTTTGTTCTACATGCTACCCATTGTTCTCAATATTTGCTACACATTTGCTCATTGAAACTTTGTGATAACACAGAGGGCTTCCCTTCATGATTTCTGTTTTTGACACTGTGAAATATAAGTTCAAAGAGGCTAAGAAATTCAAAGTCATATATCTGGAGATCCATAGCCCAGATAGATATTACCTTCATATTTCCTCTTTGCTCTTGGACCTTCCAAACATGTCAGGGCAGGAAAGTATACAGAAGTCATCAACTTGCCCTCTTAATATTGTCTCTCTAGCCCCTTTCATACCAGAGAAAGAGTATGTCTAGGTACTAAAGAGCCAAACTAAACTGGACAGAAAAGGGCATGCACAACATTCCCTGTGGTCCTCCTGCCCTGCAGTCAGAACCAGCTTACAGTATACTTCTTTTTATAAGATGATTCAGTTTGCCCCACACCACACATGGTGGGCATACGGGAGAACTGTACACACACACACACACATACACAGAGAGAGAGAGAGAGAGAGAGAGAGAGAGAGAGAGATTCATAAGTAGGAAAGGGGACTTTGGATTTCCTCCTCCTTCCTGCAACTTCCCAAAGGCCTGTCCTTATACACGGCAAACAGTGGTGCTCACGATATATTTAAGGAAGAAAATACTCGATATACAGATACTCCTATTTTTCCTTAGAAGACTTTTCTTCCAGAATCTCATCTTACCAGTGAAAATCCTCTCTTAAACGTGGCTTAGTATTTTGAATAAATGTATGTTCATATGTGTATACAAGCTTGCATGTAAAGATAAATTACCATTGTGGATTATCAATTATGTAAATGTTATGTGTATCATGTTAGATTTTCTTAGATTGCAAAAATCTGTCTTAATAGCTAACTCTGTAAGAACTTCCATAGGAGCCATAAGCTAAGGTCTTACCAGGTATCCATTCTCATTTGGGAAACTGAGCTGAGCATCTTCAATCAAAGGAGTTAGGGTGATCATTGGAAATAGGAGAAGGGGGACAGAATAGCTCCATTATTGTTAAGAAATGGACCTAGCATACATAAGGACCAGAGGAACCAATGGCCTTAGAACCAAGGGAAAAAGACTTGGATGTAATATAAGGAAGCTCTTTCTAATAGTCAGAAACAGCCTGTAATGATATGGCCTGGTTCAAGGAAAGTTAAGAATATCAACTATAGTTAAAAACAAAAGTCCATTTATCGATAGCTTATTTGGTGCTAAGCCCTATGGTCCATTTTATCAGGTTATCAGTTAGCAGAGCCATGCTCAGTACACAACCTTTCTCTATTCAATAAATAAACTCTGAAGCTCAAAGGCACCGAGGAGCTGAAGCTCAGACACATGTTTGGTCCACTCTTAATCAGGGGAAGAGTGCTTGACAGAACCTAAATGACTATTACTGGAGACTCACATTTGCAAGTCTTTAGAAGCCCCAGTCCCAGTCCAACCCCAAATGCATAGAAACTAAAGAATCAATGAAGATGAGCTAACCTTCAGTGAAGAAGTTCACTGTTGCGCCAAGAGTGAATTTCTTGGATATGCTTACTCATTGGATAGGGAGACCTGAGCTTGTGAACCTGCAGCTTACTAAACCTTACAATTAGAATTTGGGGAGCCCTAAGCAAGCACCAACCAAGACTGCTATTCAGTGCTTTACTGACATAGTTTACTTAATCCTTTCAGTGAGCCCAAAAGTCAGGGCATTACCACTGCCCATTTGAGGGCTGAGAAAGCAAAGCCTCCAGGAGTTAAGTGATTTGCTCAAGTTCTTGCCAGCCGAGGCACTGCAGACAAACTTCGAAGCCCAGTATCATGTGATACACCCATGCCATCTCTTCTGACACCCAGCCCATTTTCCTGTTCCTAAACCAAAGGCTTCAGAGTCACCAGAGTCAAGTCACAGGACAGTGCAGAAATTCTAACTTTGAGGGTGATTAGAGATTGATCAAAGAAAGTAATTTCAAACAATATGATTGCTTGAAACCACCCTAATAAATTCTGATCTACATATGCATAGAGATAGTGGAGAACATTACAGCCTGTGACCGTAGTGTTGACTTCTGTCACTTCTTTTTAAAGACTTGGTTTTTGACTCAAAGGAACCACAGTGACAGCCCTGAATGGTTGAGAAGCAGAAGGCCATGATTAGCTGTGTGTCCCTGCATATGTATGTGTGTATATTTGTATGTACGTATCTATTTTCAAACTGTGATTGAGTATTTAAATATTCCTACTGCCATTTTGTAAGTGAATACACATGAAGAAATTCCTTTGAATTTCTTAATAGAAGAGAGCCAGCCCTTGGGCGGCCTGTCACGTTTTACCACATTCCTCCTTTTTCTCATGATCTGTGTAGCAGGGAATGTGCTTGTTCAACCATGATGAGTTTTCATTGTTCAAATTCGTTGTTTACAGCTTTTCTCCTTAAAGCAATAAATCATCAACAAAAAGTAACTTCTTTGATTTGGTGGGTTTTCTTTTTCCTAAATTCTGTTATTAGGAGGCAAAGATCGAGAGCTGGATGTGTTCAATCAATGTGTGTTAACCAATTAAGTCCCAGATATTGGATAGAGAAGGAATAAAAATGACTTAAATATTTGAAGATGAGCCTAGAAACATAGATTCTGGAGCCCAGAGGATGCCAGTTTGGGGACAGACTTGAACAAACGTCTACTCATCCCAGATAGGGACTCCATCATAGACCAAAGTAGAGATAAGACCAAAGCCTGACTTGATGGACCAGTTACTTACAGGAGTCTAGATTAGAGGTTATTCACAGAAATGGGTATGACATAGGGCTGCTGCATCAACAGAAAATGCACGCCAGCATGAGTGGCATCTCAGGGGAGTAGGACTTTTCCTACTCGCTGTATGACCTGAAGGCCGCTCAACAGGTCAGAGCATCTCTCTTGGGCAGCTCAGTGGATTCGTCTTTTTAAGGGACCTGCTGATGAGCCTGTTTTAGACAGTTAAATTGGCCATTGTTTCCTTTAGTAATTCTATTTCCTTAGGCTTAGTCGCGGAGACTTGTGTTTCTGGTTAGTTTTAGGGACTTTTTGAGTATCCTGAGTCATTTGCTTCTTGACTCTTAGATTTTATTTTATTTTTTAATCTGAAGAACAAGCCAGCCCTTGAGGCTTATCAAGTCTCTTTTATAACTTCCTGTATTTTAACAAGCTTTGAGCTTTGGAGAAAATGTTACATAACAACCAGAGTTGCCAATATACCTAGGCTTAAAGATAAGCATAAATAGTAGGGGGAATTTTAGCATGCAGTCCTCCATTCGAATGCTTGCTCATTTATTAAACAGCTTGCTACATTCTTAACTAGATGTTGGGTACCTTGAGGTCAGGGCCATGACTACATAGCACAGTGTCAGGGACATGGTGGGACTGGTGAGATGAACAGATGAACAGAGAGTATCTATTACATACTGTCCTCAGTACCAAAGGGAGCACAGAGAAGCATAAAGCAGGCTGCAAGGTGTCATGGAAACAGATCTGCCATTAGTGCTCAGCTGGGTCTTAAAACACTGTGCTCCTTTCTGGCGTGCCTCACCTCAGTTGCCTCAACTGGGGAACTCACAAAATGATAACACCTACCTCTTGGCAGAGTGCACCTTGCATGTTTGATTTTTAAACAAAGGGCTGGCATAAAAGTAAGAGGTTTACCTTGCAAGCCCGAGGGACCTAAGTTTGATATCCTAGAGCCCACATTAAGAACAAAAATCTGACCATGGCATCGGATGCTTATAATTCCAATGCTTGGGGAGCCGATACAGGTGGATTCCTGGGACTCACTGGGTAGACAGTCAATTTGAATTGACAAAACCCAAGCTCATGAGAGACTGCCTGGAAAGGACAATGTGGGTGACAACTGAGGAACGACAACTGATATTGACTCCTGGCCGCCACATGCACTCACACACCTCTGCATATCCAGCCATGTGCATCTCCATGGACACTAGCTGAGTTGTTTAATAGCAAACAGGGTTGTCATCTGGCTTATAGTAAGAATTGACATCAATGTATGCATCTATACATTTCAAGTTGTCATTATTTGAGGAAATAAACATGAGTTGTCATCAACATTTAGTGGCGCTCTTTCACTCTACTGAGAAATGGCTTAATCACAGAATGATCTTCATGGTTGTATTTCTGTTTAAAGTTGTAACTCTGCGTTTACTGATCAGCCTCTCTAAGGAAGAGTATGGTAGTCCTTTCTATACAACGTGGTACTGCTTAGCCATACGAGCAGCTGTGCTGATGGCTCTGACGGGGGATCT